TGTTTCTAATAGCTTCTTGTTACTACTAGTAAGGCACCTGTTACTAGTAGCGTGGCACTTGTTACTAATAGCCTTTCTTGTTTCTATTAGCTTCTTGTTACTACTAGTAAGACACTTGTTACTAGAAGCGGTGCACTTGTTACTAGTAGCTTATTGTTTCTAATAGCTTCTTGTTACTACTAGTAAGGCACTTGTTACTAGAAGCGATGCACTTGTTACTAGAATCCATGGTCTAATACGACTCTCGTTCAAACAAGTGGCAGTGCACGTTGACACTCATCTAGCAGTTCAGTAGGGATATGCACTTTTACCAGACCATGCGTTCCTTTGCCTTATTTTTTTAAAATGTCCGGATGCCTCCCAAAGACCATGCCTTCTTGTTTTTGCTCACAATGACCCGGCTAAAACGCGCGTTGTTACAAGATTTGTGTGGTATACGGCGGCATTTGGGCTATGTCCGCAGGGCCAGTGGCAAGAGCGTTTTGGTTGTGGATGCTACGGGAACGACATTGCTGCGTGGATCATGGTGTAGTGGAATGGACTTGCTGCGGGATGTGCATAGATTCAAGCACACGCGGATGATGTGACACCAAGTATAGCACACATGTACATAGATATGGTCTTTCATCGCCTCCAGCATAGACATGTTCAAACCTATCATGTACACCGATATGTTCGAGGGGATGTCCTAGTGACTGATGTTTTGGTGGGTTGTAGTGCAAGCGGCTGTTGCAGTGATTGTGTTTCCACTTTTTTTGTCTCAAGGAGGATCGTGTCCTGAAAACCGTGTTCAGTCATGGGCCAAATGCTGCAGGGACAATTGGGCTTGAACATGCTGCTTTAAAGCACTGCAAAATGCAATTCACTAGTCGACTTGGCTAAACAAACCCCACGCAAAGACCTGAAGTCTTGGAAACGCAGTCCACATCTCAGCACTCATACCCGACTTGGGGCATGAATGTGAATGTGAATGCCTTTCGCACACACCCGGGGCATGCAACGCATGTGTGGGTTTGCCCCGCAGGCACGGCTGATGTCATCTCGCTGTGGCGCTAGCGCTTGGCGCAGATGCCTAGGCTGGTCTTGGCCCAGGTGGCCCCAACCATGAACTGCCCCACTCAGACCCCGCAAAACGGCATGCTGTGTTCGTTGACCTGAGGAGGTGTGTCCGTCGTTCTTTCTGACGCCTGTGGTCTCCCAGTGCCGCGCCTCGGGACCTCGCCAGGGTGCCAACGGAGCTTCTCCTCCGTGAGTCGGGGCCTCAACGATTGCAGCTTCAGTTGTGCACAATTTGAGCCTCCGTGGGGGCATCCATTTGAGCTTCAGTGCGGGGTTGTCGAACACCACGAAGAGCGACGGGCTCCTTGTCGTGGTGTTTGTGCTGGCGCCAGGGGATGACATGAGCTTGTTGAGCACGCAAATCGTCGACAATGTCGCGGTGGTTGGGCGCCCAGGATGTATCAAAGTCATCGTGCCCCAGACAACGAAGTGTACAAAAAAAGGACCTCTTGAGATCGGGTGATCGTGTGATATTCTTACCTTGTTCATGGCTGCCGTTGTGCGTGTCTGTGTGTGACATGGGAAAAGCACGTATTTTCCGTGCCGTCAATCCTGGCCAGGTTCGATTTCTCTCACCAGAAGGTCAATTCTCTTGGGGCACCCGAGTGTGGGAGCATCGCATCAATCCATCCCTCATCAAGCAGGCAGGCTGCTGTTTCCATTTGTTCGTCAGCTTGCCGATGTGACGGATGTACGGAGATGAAAAATGTAGCATTGCAGGCAGGTTTTTTCGAAAGAAACTCAGGCAATTTTTGGGTGGAAGGGGAAACCCAACCAGTATGTTTAACCACAAGTCCCGGTAAGTCATACAGGTGACAGACCACAAGCTGCCAGTAGCAGTCACTAGTCAGGACCTAGTCAGCAGATAGAACATGATATAACCCGGAGCAACCCAGAACACAAAGACATTGGTTGAACATGGCCATTCGTTGCCGCTATCTCTCAGGTTAACCAGGCGCTGGATGAAGCGGAAAACGCTGGTGTTCAAGCGCTTTTGGTGACAGGCACCCTGTGCAGAGATTGACGTAGCCTGAGTTTGTGGGAAAACACCTGTGAGCATGGCTGATGGGCCATCCTTTGGCTATGCCGGCGGTACCCTTTCCCATCCTTTTGCATTCTTGATGGGGACACCGCAGCCTTGCAAAGAGTCATCCATTGCAGTAAGTCCAGCGCCCTCTCATAGCACTGGTCAACAGAAAATTTAAAGACGGAACTTTTGCTGAGAGATGGTTCGTGGAGAGATACTGCCGTCATGAGCCACATGCGGATGCAACGTTTCGAGCACAAGCAGCTGCCAGGTGAGGGAAAGTTTTTTTGCAATGGAATGGATCTTCAGCTGCTTCGACTGCAACTTCAATTTGCATGTAAGTATATACTGGTTTTATCAGAATCTCATGGATTCTCGCAGGTACATCTCCGCGCATGTCAGCCAGTCCACTGAGATTCAGACTGACGCAGAGAACTTGATGAGACGTAACATGGAGTGATTTTCGAGTTGTCGACAAGACGGAGCGGAGCGAGCAGAGTGGGGTGAAAGCAGTGGAAAGAGCTTGAGATTGAATTGAAGGGGGGCATGGGTGCCACATGGGTTCCGCACGGCTTTATATTCATAACATAATTGAAATGTTCAAGACAATGATAAAAAGACATATATATATATTATATATATATACTTGGCTAGAGCCCATCACCCAGACGGCCAGACACGGTTCTTTTATTGAATCTAGAATGACCGGGAAGAGAGAGAGAGAGAGAGAGCCCATGAACCCACTTTACGATCCTCACTCTTGGTGAATGTGCCCAAGGCATTCTGACTCTGGGAATGCCGACGGTTGCAGCAGTGAATGGGCACATGACAGCAGCAGGGGCAATGCTGGGACTGTCCTTTGACAAGCGGTTGATGCCAGCTGATTCCAAAAGACACTTTGCAGAAACATAGAGACGAAGCATAGGCTAGGACTTATTGGGCCAGTTGGGCCAGTTTGTCAGAATCGAAGACACACGATGGAGCTCACTCTTTGTTTTGTGGATGAGGTCTATTCTTCATTCCCGGCATAGACATTGGTTTGGTCTATTCTCCTGGCATGACGGAACTCATGAACTCTGGCCGCCTTGTTCGATTGTTTGATTCATTTGTTTGGGAGCTCTGGGGTCATGCAAGGTCATGCAAGGTCATGTGTATTCACCACAGTGCCCCCCAAAGCTCCCACCATTCGGCCCTTCAGGGCCTGTGAGATCCAACAGAATGCCTTTCAATGTTTCTAGATGCAAAGCTTCAGTGCAAACTTAAGGGATAGTATCGTAACGTAGTTGCGAGCCAAGGAAGGCAAAGATGCCCCTTCCAATGTGGACAGCGTCCTGGCTTTCATTCTAATCGTGGAAAGCATGTGGCTTTCCAGCATTGCAGACCACTTGATATATATACATACACGCACGTTGTACCCGAAATGTGCATTCTGCGCTGCACATTCCTACACCTATGCGCCTTATGTACATTCTTGGCCATGCAGTTCTTGAAGGCTTCTTGTTGCCTGCTTGGATCAAGGACGTGCTTTGCATGGGCAAGAGGTACAAATCTGAGGACCTCCTCAAACATGGCCACATGGATTCAATCTAGCGATGTTTTGTTGTTGACGCGTTCTCACGAAGCCTGAAGGCTTTCACATGCTTTTGCTACGGTCCGAGGTGTAGTGGAGGCGACGCCACCGCCTTCTGACCTCTTCGATGCCGCAATGGAGCTCGCCAAGTCTTTGAAAAGCAAAGGCAAAGACCAGAAGACACGCGACACTTGGCAAGCACTCCGATTGAGGATGGTGCTGAGCATTCTTGCTGCGCTTGTGCCTCTGTCACAGGCAGTCTGGCTGTATTCAATCAAACACTGTTTCTTGAGGAGACGATGCGAGGCATCAAAGGAAATTTGTACAAGGACCCGACAGGTCATGTTCAAATGCATTTCAATGCAATGTTTTTGAAATGTGAAGCAAAGTCCAACTGAGATGGATGGGTGGTGGGTAGCTTGTCCATTTGTGTCCCTCATTGCCCTAGCTCAGCTTCGACGGATCTTTTGGTCCTTTGGCTTGAGCTTGTTGCGCACATTTGCGCACTATCCGCTCTCTCTCCACCTTGTCGCTTGGCTCTCACACACTTCACGGTAGTACTCACGGTGTTTCTCCTTTATGTCCCTGCTCTCTCTCTCTCTCTCTCTCTTCACTCTTTCGGTGTTTGACTCAAAACGTGGCACAGCGCCGTATTGCCAGCTTAGAGCTTGTCAGGTGCGTCAGGGAGCCAGACGACTAGTATTGTCCAACTCTCTGAATTGAGCATGAATGTTCCAGCCCTTATTTGACCAGGATGCCGCTGCACATCTTGGAAGCGCAGTTCAAGATATGGGCTTTGCCACTGGAACCTTTTCAGCCACTGGTCGGCCAAAGGCGTGAAATCTCGCCTATCACCGAAGCAAAGCTGAAAGTTGGACCATCGTGTTCTCGCCATCGCGTGCGGTGTTCAAAAATGGAGTGGCATCAAGTTCTCCTGGCATCAAGTTCTCCAGTGTGGTCCTACGATGTCCTATGTAGAAAGAGTTCATGGAACAAAGTCGGGGGTTGAGCCACACTTCTCAAACATGGTGAGTGGAACTTGCACTGCAGCAGATAAATATATATATATATATTTGCACCTTGCACGCTTTCTGGATCAACCCGATTACAGATTGCTAAGTGAAGGTGTCTCGTAGCTGCCCTCATGGCATCACGCTGGCTATGGCATTTGTCAAAGGCAGTCATTGGCAGTACCGGTGCCCCTTCAGAAAGGCATGGGTGGATGTGAGTGCTGATGAAGATCGCCAGCTGAAAGAAGCTTACCTAGCATTGCCCCGAGGTGGGCAGCCTGTGGCGATGTGCAAGATCGGCAGCCTCAAGTTCTCGACCGACTTCCGGAACCTCATCCGCACCAATGTGGCCAGCAAGCGCACCATGGAGGTGCGCCTCCGGGATGGAGACCTACCCTTTCCAACGCCCAAGGGCCCTGAAGCTCCCTCAGAAGCCTCCTTGGGCGCCAACAGTCCGGAAAGCATCGCTCCTTGTGAGCTGGAGGCGGCCAGAACAGTGCCACATTCAGTTCGAAAAGCTTGGGGCCATGGGATTGAGAGCGGTATCACCATGAGCGGAGAGTTTGAATTCACCATGGAGGCATCTGAGAAGGAGCTCTTCGGGGAGATGCTAAGTTGGAATATGCTCGCTGCAGGCATCTCGCCACAGTCGCTGGACAACCGGTGTTTGAAGTTCACCAGTAGCCAAGGAGAAGTGAGCATGGGCAGCAAAAAGGAGATTGCAAAGATGCTTGGGAATCCTCGAGCCTACCCAATTCATATTTCTTACAAGCCTCATCCAGCGTTCAAGTTTGTAGCTCCTCAGTATGTCCCGCATATGGAGGTGACGCGGACCATGCTGAAATTCACACAAACAGCCGTGGCTGAGCTGGATGGGAAATTGGACAATGTGAAGCACAAGCACCAGAGAAGAACCTTCGAACGGTATTTGCTTTACTTGGAGGATCACTATTATCAAACCGGCGATGACCTCAGCGATGCCCTGGATATGGAGGCCGTTGTGAACAAATATCCGGAGACTGCGTTTTCCTTTCTCCTCATCAACAAGACTGGGCCTGGGCTCTCCAAAATCCTGCGAGGAGAGATTGACGTTCTAGAGTATTTATTTGGTGGCTGATCAATTGTGCTCCGAGAGGTTGAGCTTCGAACATGTCTCTTCCGCAGCCAGCCAATGCAGCCAATGATGTTGCTGCACCCGGGAAGGCAAAAAGGCGGCCTTTTAGCTTGAGACTCTTTGGCAGGCTCACACGGGCACTAAACCACGACGGAGACTCGCACAAAGACACCATGTTAAAGAGGCCATGTGTGGTGGTAGACTTGCACTCACAAAATCAAACAAACATCGCAATACATGGGACGACCACAGATGACATATGAAACACATTGTGTTCATGTTTTTCTGCTGTGGTTTTCCCATGTTCCATTTTTCGTTGGGGTCCAGTCCACTGCGCGAGGTGAGCACGGCAAGGCGGGACCGTTTTGGGCGCAAAAAGTTCGATACGTTTAGCGCTGTAGAGTGACCCACAGATTGTAACACACAGGGCATTCCTCAAATATGATTTTGGAGTTTGTTTCTGTTGAACTGTTGATATGTTTGAACTATTGAGAGCTCCGTAGAATCATAGCAACTGTTGCTCCTGGAATCTGAGGATTTACTTGTGCATTGTTTTAGAATCAATAGGTGGTGCAATGTACGAGTCACCGCTGCTGTTGAGCTTCGAAATCGAAGCGGGGATTTCTGGGTGGTGCGGGGGCCTCGGAGAAGCAGTTGCAGAGTTTCACTGGATGAACTCCAGGTTCTTTCCGCTCAGACCAAGGTTGTAGAATGGCTCAGTTCAGTGATGATGCATACAATTCACAGTGGCTTGGCAGATATTGAGCAGGTTGCACAGTGGAGCACAGCTTTTTGTTTGCACAGATTCTTCACAACACGTTCTGAGGGGAACGTGTTGTGGGACTCCTGGTGGGTACACACACGTATGCTACTGCGAAAGTTATAAAAATTCAGGAATGGTTCCTCCCTCAACTATTGTGAGATTGCCTTGCGCACGGATTGAACAAAGAAAGAAGTACCTCTCGAATGAGATTTCGACCAGCACTCGTCTAAAGTTCTACGCTTCGACCAATTCTATAATGAATTTAGTCTGCAGTATCAGAAGGATAGTTGACATTACGGGTCTTGAGGTACAGGAGTAGGTATTCATCTAAAGCTCCCCTTGTTAACTGAACAGAGACTGCAAAGTATCCCAAAGCTATTGATGGCCCAATTGATGGCTGTTGATGATGCTGTCTCCTTGAAATGTTTCATGTGAGGTTGCAACCTGGCACCGGGGTCAGGGCCTCAACGCTCAATTTCAGCCTCCAACATCAGTTCTCAACTTCTCACTTTGCCAGGCTGGAACTCTGATCGGCAATTGGTTCGAGGAGTGCCGTGTAGTCATGTCTACCGAAACAGGCTATACTAGAAGTTCTGTGGCAAGCCATGGCTCCAAGCCCTCAACAAAAAAACAATCAACAACAAAGAGAACATGCTGCCCATGTCACGCATCTTCGAGCACGGTTTTCGAGTTGCCCTTTGACCCCCGAAAAAGAGAAGTGCAGTTGACAACTGTTTCTGGCAGAGCCAGCGTCTCTGGCAGCGTCGCCGAAGGAACGGGTCCTCCGCGATTCATCAGGTGAGGGTCGAACGGTGCCGCAGCGCCAGGGCACTCAGGAGGATAGCCCATTAGAGAACCAAGCAAGGCTCGTGGAGGTTCGACGAACCATGTGGGGCCCATGATTTGGTTGAAGCTATGCTAAGTTTAAAACTATTTTGAAGCATATGTTAAAACTCCAGTTCCGAGATGTGTCATCTTCCGACATGTTGGAGCTGGGCTCCAGTGCTCCAGGGCCTGAATCTTTGCGCTTTGGCCTTCGCAGCCCTTCCAACGGCCACGGGTGCCGTTCCCGCTTTGAGCCGCACGCAAGCGACAGCCGAGGCCATCTCCCTCGGTCCGGTCTCTTGAAAGACTGGACCAAGGTGCCGCCAGTTCCCAGGACGGGTTGGAGTCGGAGGAAGTTGTTCTTGTTTGTCCGGTTTGACCCGAGAAGACTCTCGGAATTGGACCAACTGAGACGGAAGGACATTCGCTGGGGTTTGAAGTAGAAAGGAGAGCCTTTTGCGCATCCCAAAGTCAGGTAATTCAAGCGACTTTGCGTCTGGAGAATAGGATCTGAGAGTCACTTGGTAGGTCCAATACCATCAGCCTGGCCTCGCAGGAAAGGTGATGACACTTTCGACCGTGTCTACGGGCCAAAGTCCACCTTAGAGTGGGAGCCGGCATCCGCAACCATTGGGAAGGCGTGACCCGCGTGACCCGTGGCTCTGGAAGAGGTCCAACGGAGGTGGTGCCGAAAGCCGAAGGGATTGCATTTAGATTAGACTCCGGGATCTCACACGTGAAAGTTTGCTCAAGGTCTGAGGTAGGAGGAACCCCCGCATACCAAAAGAAACGATATGGTACTTTGGCCCGGCACCCGGCACCTGGCATCCAGCCCCAACATCCGGCAACCCCCATCCAGCCCATTCCGCGTTCAACAACTCGTAATTTGTTCCAGCTTCGGTCCGCGGCTTTGTTTGGCTTGCAGGATGAGCCGTTTTTTGGGCTTGGCTTAGCGCTTCGATTCTTTAGTGTTGCTTAGGGTTTGTCTTGCGGTTGCCGCTTCGGTAAGGGTTTCTTTTGGCTTGGCTGGGCGGGTTTCTTTGCTTTGCCTGTTCGTTTCTGGTTGCCCGTTGCTGCTTGGCACTCGAGATGATAATAAACACACTTTCACAATTTTTCATGACTTCTCGTAATTACCCAGTGCCAGGAGCCTGTCGGAGATCATCCACCCATCCATCATTCACTGCTGCATCCACCTGCTGTGTGCAGGTAGACAACTCCACTCCCAGCATTCTGCGGGAGGGCCCTTTGAACGTAGCGCTGAAAACTGCACATTATGGCGGAGCAGAGCTTGATGTGCAGAGTGAGGCCGGTCTTCGCCAGATGTTTCGGTTTTCGTGCACAGATCATGGCCAGCTGAAGTTCCATCGAGCAAAAGGTAGAACATCCGAACTTCCGAGTCATGGTTATGTAAACGTGCCGGTCCTGCTTTTTCCTTGTTTGCCTTTGGCTTGCAAGGAAGGAATCCTCGAAGAGATGAACCAAGTGACTTGGCCGAGCTTGCGGCTGTTCGAGCAATTGGAGCCAATCGAGCTACCCACTGCAGTGGGTTCAGAGTAGATTGTACACAACTCCCGCAGGTGATGTATATACTGTTTTTATCTGTTTGCATTTGTTTTTTTGATTGTTTTTTGGGTATATAGTATGATATAGATCCCGATCTCCCGGATCCCATCTACCACTTGAGCCTGAGGGTGTTCTACCAGGCCTCTCGGAGCCTCCACCAGCTCGGGACCCTCCACGAGCCGCCTTCCGCGCGTGCCTGGTGACCGACCGACACCAGGCACGCTACTTTGAGACCACCACGGGTGTGGGTCACCAGAAGCCGGACTATACAGTGGCACAAAAGGCGGGCAGAAACAGCAGACGGCATCAACAGCAGAAGCAGGCTGTTCTTCGATGGATTTTGGGGTTCGTCCGAGTGAGTGAAAGATGATCACCACATCATTTGGGTAAAGCCGCCCTTTAATTACAAACTATATATATATATATTATATATAAATATCAAACTATATATCAAACGATCATCATTGTCACCACCATCGTCATCCACCGCTTTTTCACTTGTATTGATGCAGTGCTTCGATTTGCTGCATCACCAGGCATCCCACACATCGACACTTGGTGGCAATCCGAGCGGTGCAACTACGGTGCAACTCAGCACCCGGCCGTTTGGAACGTGGCCGTTTGGCATCGCGGCAGAGCCGGGCCCGGCCGTGCTATAATGCACGGCATCGGTTTGGATAAACTGGCCTCAGACAATGAACACAGCGCCGGGCAGCTTCAGGAAGAGCTACAAGCAGGAGATTTTCTGCGGCCCGGAACCTGACGTGATGCCGTCACTGGAAAATGAAGGCCATGACCGGAGGTGTTGAGATGGACACGGACGGGTGAGGTGAAAGCCAGATTGTCTCCTTGCCCATTGGGGCTTTACTCTTGTCAGGTGTGGCATAGTATACCGTAGCTATGTAGTTCTATCAGGAGGCTTTAGTCACTTTAGTCTAGGGAGACTTGTGACCTTGCGAGCTGAAAGCAGAGGACGCGCGAAGCGCGAGCCTTTGAAAGCCTCGTCCAGGTTTGGAGGTCCCCTTCCATGCGCACTATTCACGTGTGGACCAGATTACCAACACCAGGAGCACTGCAATTTTTGGGCGGATGGATCGCCGGATCGCCGGATCGGATGGGTGAAGATGGAGATGGCCCGGTGGAAACCGATCGCAGAATTCGCGCAGGATGTTTATGGCAGACCCCGAGTTCCGGGGCAATGTGGCAGCATCTGCTCCCACTGGAGACTTGGTTGACGAAACCAATTTCGTCACTTTTGTTTGGCACGTTTTTTGTAGCTACCACTCAAGATCACGTAACGAGTTGCAAATGTATTGGTGAGTGACTTGAGTTGTGTGGGGCTAGGTCAGCTAGGTCATCAGACGAACACCTGTAATTACTATACGTTAATATAAGTTCTTCTCAAGCAACAGATTAAATCATGTTAGCATCATGCAGGATCCTACAACTAGCCCTTCAAAAGTATCCAAAAGTCATAAATTCATAAACACCTTACATACTGCATACTGCATTCCATGAGCAGCTAAGAGTGTATGCCAATGTATGCCCTCAATCCGTTTGGCATCACTTAGACTGCCGCGACGGGCGCTGGTGGACCCTCTTCCATGCTCAGTGGACTGAGGTGTTGGACCCTTCCACCGCAATGCGCAGTTCACCAAGGCTGTGGGCTGTGAAAGCAAATCCGATGGGAACGGTTGTTGGAATGCATAACACATACTGTAGATCTCAGATGGTAGACCATACATCGTTGGAACATTGCTTGGAACTCACATGGCTATGACCTGCTGGTTTTGAGCTGGCAACTGGCCTGCCGACCCGAGGGATGCGACAAGTTCATACTGCACGTTCACAAGGACATCTTTTGGTGTGTTGCGTGTGTGCTTGATGCCCTCGCCCTCCCCGGAGAAAAGGAGTCTTTGTGTTGAGGGTTTGTTTTCCAATCATTTTGTGTCATGCTCTTTGTTTGAGAGCGAAATGATTGGACACACTCAAGCTCGTTGAGTTTGATTCTTTGAGCTTGCCGAAAGTAAGATTTCTTTGTGGTTCTCCTCTCTTTTTGCAGGACGAAGGCCTCAATGAGATGTACCAGAGACTCCCAGAGACCAACCCCATGAGGCTGAGAACCGGCATAATGTTGCTTTTTTTTTTTCTTCAGCGAAAAGACAAGAAGGACATGTTTTGGGTGCAGGCTGACGAACGCACAAGAATCGCTGCTGTCAGGCAACTTGGAGGTGAAAATGCCTCAGATCCCCATGCTGGGATCCCATCCCTAGCTGCGCTGAAGGGTGCGATCCACCGAAAGGTTCAAGAGGTGGGCGGTTTGGTTTCGCCCGCTCGGCCACCCAAAGACCGAGAGTTTGGCTTGATGTCTTTGGGTGTCTTGATGTCCTTTGTTTTGTTTGAGCAATTCATGAAACATATATAATCATATATATATATATATATTATATATAACATACTGTAATGTTATAATATTATAGTATAACTATAATAAACCGTCGCGGGCTTCCTGGCTTTCGCTCATGTTTTGGGCTCCCAAGATAGTCACGAAAGGTAGCTTGAGCTACCTGAGTTCTCCTTGCTTTAGCAAAAATGTATTACAATCAGGAGTTGGGATTGTGCATTGAGTTTGGTCCTGTAAGAGTTGATTCTGTTCGTCGGGGGGGGCCCCCCCCCTGGATCAAATCCCCCCTGCGCCGGTTCACGCCGTCATGGACTTCTACCAGGGTTACTTGTGATTGCCTGCTACCTTTCGTTCACCCCCTCCTCTCTCAAGTCTTCTCAGGAGTTCAAGGGCTTCAAAAAGTGCATCCTGATTTGGAATGGCTAGAATTGCAGATGCCCAATCACACTTAATTATAGCAGCGTCCTTGTTCCTAGTAGTAAGGCCAGGAGCCCCCAGTAACGTCCTCGCTCCCATAGTAGCAAGGTCAAAAGCCCCTAGTAGCGTCCTTGCTCCTAGTAGTAAGCCGGGAGCCCCTAGTAGCGTCCTTGTTCCTATAGTGGGGGCACCATGAAGGCGAAAGGAGTTTTTGTGCGCATTACATTCAGTCCTCGGACCAGTGAGGACTTGCATATGTTCAATGCAGTTGCGCAGGTTTGGGGTCCTCTTGGTTATGTGAACCTCCGGCAACGCCTTTGTGAACTTTGCGATCACGAAGGCATCACTTTGAGATACTTTGAGTCAGGTTGAGAGACTTCTCTAATAAATAGAAACTAAAGAGAGGACACGGATCTCAGGATCTCACCACACATCTCAGATGTCCACACTCTTGGACACGCCACAAAACCTGTAATGATGTAAAAGACCACACGCCTCATGTTCTTCGGAATTTGCAGGGTTCATTCGGAAGAGCGACGTGGTGGAAGCTTCTCAGCTGCAGTGCTGCAAGTCTTTGTATGTGGTTTGTTGCCTTACTCTATGATGAAGTGACTATGCCATGATGACATCAACACCGATTTCCATGTGTGGATATCACCTGATTACATATATAACATAATATAACCTTTACTGCACACACACATACACATCATACATACCATAGCATTGTACACATACATATACAGCATATACACCCCAGACTATTACATTACTTACATGACTAAATACAATACAATGCATTACATTCCATGCCATTACATTGATGCATGCATACTTGCATACCTGTGTGAGTATTGGCATTTATACTGGCTAGATCGGTTTGCTCCAAAAATGCCACGACTTGTGTGAGCTCGGCTTCGTAGTTCCCTTGGCCTGACAAAACAGGTCTTGCGCGAGCCGCTTGGGCTTTCGGAGGAGGAAGTTGAGGCCAAGCCGTTGGATGTCGGAGCCACAGATGGAGGTAGGCAGAAGCCATGAACTTGGATGAACTTGGCATACTCCTCCAAGTGTTTGACAATAAGTTGTAAGCGTATTGTTTATTTCTTTGAACGGGGACCTGTTCAGGTGGTTTGGTCTTGTCGGGAAGGTAAGTTGTTGATGAATTTAGTTGGCCCCAACACGGAGAACTGAGCTTGGTTTCCTGGTTTTCCCTATGCTGGTGGGCGGGATTCATGCCAGTCAGGAGTCAGGAGTAGAGTCCTTTAATGTCCTTTGCCTAGTGGGACAAGAAAGGTTTAAAAGCATTTGGAGGGCAAAATCACTGCAGCACACTACTCCTACTGAATCGCGGGTCGACAGCGCAGACTGCTTCGCCCAAGGTCTGGCTTTGCCAACTCTGCACCATGAAGAAGGACCGAACAGAGACCGGCTTGTGGAGGATCTGAGACGCTTAAACCGTTGAAACTCATGAATAGTAGATGGAAGAGTAGATGGTTACCCGGGGGTTGTACCATCTACTCTAATGCCACTGTAAGCATTGTTGATTCAGTGCATAGCTCTTGGATTCGATTTTCTGGGGAATGCATGACCGACATGCCGTTCATTGTTGCTGCCATTCTGTCGCGTGAAGCAGCAATTTTGAGAGATATTCGCTCGTCGCTGAATTCGCGTCGGAAGGCTGAACTGAAGGCTTCAACCTTTATGAGCTCCTTGCGGCCTGCTCTGCCGCAGAAGGACAGGGGAATGCCGCAAGACATGACCATGGCCCATAATATCCCTTTCTGGTCGTGATGACTGCTGAGGAGAAACGACGCGTTCTGACTGCCTTCAAACTGCTTCAGGGTCCGAATGGTAGTGCTCGCCTGGGAGACTGGTTGCAGAGGCATGGAGAGACACAGATTGGTCAAAGAGACTGGCCGCTGTGATCGTAAAGATATTCCGTCGCTGTGATTTGGGACAAGGATCCACTGCCGCTCAAGCGGGCCGGGGGCAAGATCATGAAATCCATCTTCATTTTTTTTGGCTCTTCAGACTTGCTGATCCTTTACCTAAGAGAGCAGCTCTCTTCCAGGCTGGATGATGGGGACCTGAAGCAAACAGTCATTTTCGCCTTCGGTGCTGAAGATGAGGACCCATTTCAACAGAGCCGAGCGTTGAGCTTCGAGCGAAAAAAACCGGCGCCGTGGAGCTCGGTGCTGAGCGCCAGGAGTCGGTTGCGAACACCGCAGTGACTGAGCAGGTCTTCTTGGAGCTTTTCTCGGACTTGGCCTCTCGACTGATTTGGGAGGTCAGAATAGTGTGTCGACCATGTCAGATCAAAGACATTCAAAGACTGTTGGGTTTGTGAGGCATATTGAGGTCTAATTATATTTTGTTCTTCGTCCATGCGCAAGAGCTGTTCGAATCTGCCTGGCAAAGGCAAAGTTGACATCATTTGAATTCTGGTCTTTAAAGGCTCACACGCTCGTTTGGCACAGCCACAAGCAAACAGCCGTTGAGAGTTTTGAGATGACTGCACGAATACGGTGATCTGTGGGATGTTCTTCGCTGTCGTGATTGCAAGTCGAAAGGCTCCTCTTCAGCTACATGCTAGTTGAGGCACCCTTTGCAGACATTGGCCCCATGCTGGAGTGAGGCTATTTGGATCTATTTGGTCAGGTTTCACTGCACCAGAGCAAAACCAAACGAAAGACCAAGGACAGCGAGTCGGCGCTTTGAAATTTATGGTGTGAGCTAACGAGTTTCGCCTGTTCTTTTGAGAAAAACACTGAGAAAGCAAAATCCTTCAAACATTGTCCAAAAACACTAAAGAGCATGGTCCTCACAGCGTCTCCCTCTCTCTCTCTCTCTCTTCTTTTTTTCTACCCCTTTGCGCGGCAGCAAAGCGCCAATCAATGAGTTTCACCTGGAGCAACCTACACCTGAAACAACGGAACGAGAACGTTTCGGTGCAATGCCGAAACCGGAGCCAAAGACGGCAACGACGAGCGTTCTTTTTACATCGGTGGCTCCACGAGACCGGGGAGGTGGCTCCACTTGACCTCCAGAATCTCGGGCAAAGCCTGCAACTGGATTTCCGCATGCGAATGTCCTTGCAAGAAAACGTGCCGATGCATGGATAGCTAGTGATACGGGCAGACAGTTTTTCGTGCACTTCAATTGCATGTGGACGGCACATGGAATTGAATTCCAGCGCGATCGGACCGCTTTGACCTACTTGAGCTAGTGAGCAGTCAATGAAAGCCGTGCTTTTGGCATCGAAAATGAGAATCTCTCGATGTGTGACAGAGATATCCTTAGATCAATGTAAGGCTCCAAGCGAAAGGCCCCTTACAGCTGCTGCGACAGGCGATGTGGATCCGAAGTTTTGGAGGCATGTGGGCCGAGAAGTCTGGAGGCATGTGGATCCCTTCAAGCAAAATCCCAGGCATGAGTCTCTTCAGTGTCCCAGGCCTGGGGAAGTCCTCAATGCTAGTGCATGTACTTGCTGCATGCTGTTGTTCAAAGGATTTCAAAGGCATTGAATTGCCATGGTTGGTGCATAGGTCTGACAGCTTTCTTCAATTACAATATATGGGAATACATATGACAGCCGCGTTTGTCTTACAGGCTCCAAAAGCGCTGCCTGAAACAGCCACCTCACAGCACCCCTGAAGCAGCTTCAAAAGGATATCAGGATGCACATGAAGGATCCGGATCAATACAGTGCTACGCAACAGCGACGCCGTACAGCGAAACACGCCATGCTTGGGCGGGTGACCGGAGTGGTGGCGATTCTGCTGCTGGGTGGAGAGCCAGAACGAGATACCTTTGCTGCGGAGCTGGCTTTCGACTTTTCTCCGCCCTTGGAAGTCTTCGCCAGCTCTCCCTCAGCCGGGGCGGAAGAACGCCTGAGACGTTTGGACAAGATCGGCAAGTTGGTTCTTTCTCATGAGGCCAGTGCCATGTTACATCGATCAATCATCAATTACGTTCAGTTTGCGATAGCTCCCAAAGATTCAATGCAAGTTTGCATGCTCATTGGCATGCAGGAACATGGCATTCATCCGCTGGTTTTTTCTGTTCTTGCATCGCCTGAGAGGCCTTAGACACCGTCACGAACTTCTCGACGATGATTCCACAACTTAAGGAGGCAATTCTATGAGGTCTTTTGGGCAGGTCCCGATGTGCAGAGTGAGACACGACATGAGCATGGAACAATCGTGTTTGTTTCCTGGACATGACAAGCTTTTCTTTTTCTATTTTTGTGTGGGTCTTGCCCAGGCCGGCATTTCCAAAGTCCTCCTTGTGACATCCTCATACCACATGCCCAGAGCAACTGCGATTGCCAGCGTCATGCTTGGGGCCACCTAGACTTGAACATGTTGGACTGCTTGACAGCGGCTGACTACGATAAGAATCAGTAATCAGTAGTGGGCTTTGTATAGCTCGGTAGATTCCGGTAGATCAGCTTGCTATTATATACAGCTTTGGACAGGGCACCATTTGACAGCGACAATGCAACTGAAGTGCCGTAATGGTTTATCATGGTTTATTAAGCCACCTGAGCAGGTTCAAGGCATTTTCCAGGACCTGTCCAAACATTGTTTGGACATTTTTCGGGGGGCATGATCTGCAAAACTGGCAGTTTGGATGAGGCAATTGGCATTGATTTTGAGCCTCACCCAGTGGCCTCGAGCAAACCAATGGAACCACGCTGGAAGATTTGGCGTGAGCTTTGGCGGGATGAACATGAATCAAGCCCAGTTGCGGTAACTACCAGGGGTTGACCAGTCTTGTGACCTACAAGGAGGTCGGGTGGAGGTTGGATAGGTGTACTTGATCTTGCAATATGGATTACTTTAAATTGTAGGGTGTGGTGTTGTACTGAATCTGCCGAAGCGGCGCCGTTCAGAGTTCTTCCACACCCAAGGATGTGGCTCGCGCTTGGATTTGGAGAGTCACCGGATGGGACTTCCGTTGGTTGTTGAAGATCGTTTTGCCCTGGGCACGACGACATCAGCCACATCCGAGCAATCTCTTGGTTGTATGACTTGTTCCCAATGGCACCCCAAGGAGGCAAGCACATGGAATTGATTGGAATTGAATAGCTGAATAGCATCATGGTTGGAGTGTTGGAGTTGCCCCACTTCGAGCTCGCCCATCCTCAAGTTCTGAGACTCTGAGTGGAAAATCCTTCCCTGAGCTTGCGGACGCTGAGATTATAGGCTCAACTTCCTCCGTGCTGAAGCGGGCAGCGATTCGCCATGCGTTCGGCTCCACGCAGCGTTAAAACCGCCCAGAGGATCGAGCTGGTCCTACTTGTAAGGGCGTGGCCCACATTGATAACTAATTACTGCATGCTACAGCCCATGGGTGTTGATTTATCATGATTTTTTGTTTATCAATTTCTTTGTCTCTCTTTTTTCGCTGTCTCTCTATGCGTAGCTAAGCTCCCAGGAAATCCGCAGATTTAGGACTTGTGGAGAGCTAGCCAGCAGTTGGTGCAGAGTTGGAGTCGGCTGCCGACCTTATGAGCTCAAAAGAGGAGTTGGACCATGGAAGAGCTTCCCGTCAGCCGTAGCGCAGGCGGGCCATAGCTGAGCGCCCTGGGGTCCCCGTGGGGTGCTTGGTTCTTCAGGACCGGCTTGGTGTCCAATGCTTGTTCCAACTCGACGGGGGTGATGTGAGGAAGACTTGTAAGGAAGAGGGCATGCAGGGTGTGACCACACCAGCAAACAATATGACAGTGCTTGCGGCTTTGCGTGGCCCCTTTGTTTGGCTTTCAGGATAGGCACTGAACCAATGTACTATCACGATCTATCATGAAAATGTGAGTATAAGCAGGTCAGGTCATATTGTCCCTTGTTTAGTTCACACACCAGACCAGAAGTGAACAAAGTGGAGCCGTGACCCTGATTAGTTCCAAATTGTTTTGCTCCTGAATGTTTGCGGACCAGTCTGCATGCACTCTACTTGGGGCCCCGCAACGTTTGTTGAATCAAACACACACACACACACCCATATATATATATATATAATAAGCATTGGCAACAGTTGCCGACACATTCCAATGCGTGGATTTCTTTGAATGGCTTGCCGACAGCAGTGGCCACACATGTCAGAGCAGCAATGAGATCTGCGCCAGCGCTGGGGCGTCAACCCCAAAAATGATTTTGATTCTCCTTCCGTTGTTTTGGGCGGCTGAGAGCCAACTGCCGGCAACGGTCACTCCGAACCGAATCTGGCCAGAGGATGCTCCCGTAGACAGCGAGTCCTTGACGGCCAGCACGGACTTCGTATGTTCTAGAATCAGCCAACAGCCTGAAGAAATCCGAAGAGGTGTTGAATATCCCGTGCCAGATCTGAGTGAGAAGCCTGTTGGAGGTCCTGGATCCTTGCCAAGCCTTTTCACGAACTTCCGCCAAGAACAAGTGGGAAGGCTTCTCTCCGAAACACAGCAGCGCTGTGGCATGGCTCGGATGGATCCTGAAGCATGTAGCAATGCTTGGATGGACTACTTCATCTCACTGATCATTCCCTTTGGACTCCCACTGATCTTTTTTGTTGTCCTTCTATTCCTTTGGTGCACATGTTGCTTCGTGGCCTGCTGTCGATGTTGCAGACAGATGATTTGTTGTCGAGAACGAGCTGAACCCAAGAGAACGTCTCGGACCTATATCATCATTGGCCTTGTGGTTTGGAGTATCGCCAGCACCCTCATCATTGCATTGTGCTTCCCCGTCATAGATGCCAGCCAGACCCTGCATAGAGCGGTGAACTTGAACCTTTGCGTAGCTCATCACTTTGCCAAAGAAATCCTGCATGGCTCGGGATGGTTTCTGGGGATGGAACCTGCATTGAGACGGTTGAGCACCGTAGGTACGGCATTTGATGCTGATAGTCGATCTGTCCGGAGACTCAACGAGGTGCTTAGGACGTCGGTGACCTTCTCCACCAAGCATGCTTTCCTGCAGCAGCGCTTGCAACATCTGGTCGAAACGCTTTCGCAGGTGGCTGGAGTCACTGCCCCACGGCGCCTACTTGATCACAGATGTGTGTTTTGTAATTTGGCCCTCGGTAGGGGCTTGGATGGGCCGGAGGCAGCACCACCTTTGGGTTTTCCTGCGAATGGTTTGCTGAATGCCATGTTGAAGGAGTTGTCGCAATCCTCATCTGCGGCAATTGCGAACATTCGGCAAAATGCAGAGAGAGACCTGACAGGAGAGAACCTTACAGATTTGGCGAAGAACCTGAAAAGTGCGAACTTCTCCTTCAGTGTCTTCAACGAAGCTGTGGTCAAAGAAGCACTGGCATATTTGTGGGTAAAGAACCGGCCTCATATAGACACAGTCGAGTCCATCAGAAACTTTCTTTTTACTTTTGCTGCAGTGCTTGCGGGTGTCGGAGCTGTAATTGGCTGGGTGGCATTGATACGGACACGTGTGCGCTTGAGGAAGAACATGGCCCGCTTGCCAAGTGGTCGGCTCCACCTCACATCATGGTGCTGTGGCTTTGCTCATGCGGTGATGGCCATGGCGATTGGCTCCTTTCTTTTGTTTTTGTCCATCCCGGTGGCGGAAGCCTGTGTCTTCGTCCGACAGGACTTGTTGACGCATGCAGGCTTGGAGCGGTATGCCTCGGTCTTTGGAGTAGTTGCACCACCAGGTGCCTCAAGCACCGAGGTGAAAGCAGCACAGGAGGCTGTGCGACTAGCACAGGCCTGTTTGTCCCAGAATCGGACTGGTGATATGCTGGCAGCTGTTGGTTTGGGCGCAGAGTCATTGCAGTTCCCACAAACTCTGATTGATGCCTTCTACCAACTAGATGATCGGAAAACCGAGCCCCCAGTTGGGGTCCAATTTGCTGATCTCCTCGAGCAATTCATCACTTTAGCTGAAGACTTTGGGAGCACCTTTGTCCTAGATCCTCAAGCCGCAGACAACACTACGGGGTCTTGGGGAAAGCTGACTCTGAATCCCAACATTGAAAACTTGCTCTTGGGTTCTGGCTTAGCAGCCAGTGATGAGGTGGCTCCGGACCAGGTGACCCGGATCCGGGGGCTGAACGCCTACGCGGAACTCATCGCAGGACCGGGACAGTACCGCTTCCTGCACGGCACTGCAGGGGGGGGCTTCGTGATCCAAACAGACCGGCCCAGTGCGGCAGAGCTGAAGTCTTTGCCGTTGGAAGTGCAGAATGCACTCCGCTATGCCCAAAACAAGGAGAAACTCATCACCAGCACCGATTCCTTGCTATGCAACACCCTTTCTAGCACCGATGGCACTGTTCAAGCTCGCTCCTGCTCCGTGGCAGAATTTCAGCTCTACCTGGTGTCGGAAGCAAAATTGATCAAGCAAGCGATGATAGAGACCAGTGAGGAAGCAGAGGCCATCACGTCCTCCTTTGCGACGGACCTGAAATCAGAACTGCTGCCAATCCTCACCTCCTTGAATGGCTTGGCGTCACGCTTAAACTGTGCACCCATGTGGAAGCGGGTTGAGGAAGTGGATAGCTCTTTTTGTATGGACATCGCCAATGCACTTTCATGGATTGCAGTACTCAGCTTAGCACAATCCCTGGCTGGCCTGGTGGGCCTGGTGGTCCAATACAAGGTCTGGCGACGCTTGAAGGATAATAAGACCCTCACTGAAGAGCTGCGCCGCTATGAGAAGAAACTGAAGCAGCACCAGAGGCAACTTGCAGAGCTTGAGAAGCGGGAAGCTGCGGCCAAAGATGATGAATGGGCCGTAAGTGCTGCCCGCTTGGATTTGCACATTGACGAGGAAGACGCCCTGAACATCAACACCCAGAGTTTGCGGTGACCTTGACAGAGCTTTGCATGCACCAGGATTTTCTACAGCAGTTTCCTTTGCTAAGCAAAGAGAGCAGGCAGTCGGAAAAGTCGTTCAAGTCATTCGGATCATGCTGTTGATCACAGAGCCCAGAGGTTCTTTTGGACGGAGTCTTTGCAAAGCTACCTTGTCAGATTATTGGTTGCATCGATTCTTGGGCTGTTTCGAGCATTCTTGCGAGAAGGATAACATTTGACTCGGAGCTGGTCGAGAACAAGGAGGTCCGAAGGGTGGTGTCATATTCCAGATCGGTTTTTGGGCCAGCTGGAGGCCGGTTGGCAGGAGATTGGTCTCCCTCGACTCAATGCACTATGCACTTTTGATTCTTTTCATGCTCCCGTATTGGATTTTGACTCTTGGTTTGCCACTTAGAAGTCCCGGGAGGTGGGACTTTGGCACTTGATGAAGGTTTAAAGTTCCCATCTACAGCATCCATTGCTGTGCAGGTTGGACGTGGAGCTGAGTTTCAAGAACACCCTTTCCCAGATCAGGTTGATTGCCAATTTCGGTTGGTGCAGTTGGTAGCGGGGAGTTGCAGGTGACGAACCTAGAGCCCTCCGGCGTGAGTTCGTTCAACCGGTCTTGATCCAAGATATTCAACGAAACTTCGTGGTTCATCCTGTTCGGGCGGAGGCCATCATGTCAAGGAAGCGATGCATGCTTTGAGTGTTGCCCCGTCGCCTTCGCTCGCGGCTGATAAGGAATCCAAGCAGCTAGGGACTTGTGTAAGCACAGCACGCCACACAAAAAATACATACGGAGAGACAGAGATATAGAGAGATGTAGTAGAGTTATGCAATTCCGCCAGGAAACCCAAGAAGCTGTTGAGATTAGCATACAATGGTTTAGAATAGCAGGCTCCGGATGACTTACTTTGTGCCCGAAAACGCAGATCCACGGAAATCGACGTTCGACGTCGCGCCATGTGCTCTCGCTGCCGGCAGTGCATCGACAGCTTTAGACTTGACAGCGCGCCCACAACAGAGCTCAGTGATACAGCCAGCAGAGGCGGGATCAAGAAGCAAAGTTAAACTCAGGGCTGAGGCTGACAATCGAACTCTCCGGCTACTTCTAGCTTGTGGCTTGTACTTAGTGTTTTAAGGTGAGCTTTTGGCTGCACTTGTTTCAACATGCAACATGTTGGTTCCGTCGCTCTGCAGGCTGCCAAGCTGATTTATGCCCATTTCGCATCCAGGTA